GTCTTGGTCTCAAATACGGTCTTGAATCAAATGCATTTTTTTCAAACTGGGCGAACTCTGGATTTTAAATCAAGACCACCACTGATCATCTATTTTTCCATTTCATTACTGAGATTAGAAGGAAAACACCTCTTACTTAAACAACAAATAACTTCTATTCATTTGCAGTTTGATTTTTAATCCCCCAGTTACGGCCCCAACCTTGCTGGTGTTATGGTCTAAGTGAGTGACACTCTGCACACAAGATGATGATTTTTTTGTGCTATTTATGGTCTTGGTCTTGTCTCGGTCTCGAAGCACTCCGGTATGTCTTGATCTCGGTTAGTGTGGTCTTGACTACAACACTAGTGCACTTAATGTTAAAATGCTGTAAGAAGGGGCGCGCTGGTGGCACAGTGGTTAGGGCGCGCGTCCCATGTGTTGAGACTCTCATCTCAAGCGGTAGGCCCAGGTTCACTTCCACCTGTGGCCCCTTCCACATGTCATTCCCGCTCTCTCTCCGTGGTTTCCAACTCTATCCACTGTCCTATCTCTGAATTAAAGGCACGAAAAAGCCCAAAATAAATCTTAATTTTTTTTTTTTTTTAAATGCTGTTAGAAGTATAATGTAAATACATTTAGACAGATTAATAATTTTATATACGTTTAAAATGGATAGATAATATAAATACATTGACATAGATGGATGTTATATAAACTACTAGATAGCTGTAACTAGATAATGTTAATACTGACAGATAGTCTGGTATTTAAACACTTTTCATAAATAGATAGAAAGTAAGATACTGACTCTCACTGTTCATCGCTGTTTGAGGTTCTCAGGCTAAATTTGGCCCCTGTTGCCGTCAAGCTTCTATCATTTACAGCGCAGCCTATAAACAAGAAGTGGCAGCTTCAGCGCTACATTTTTGACAAAAGAACAACCAATGAAGCCATAAAGAGACCTACACACACCCCTTTATTTAGAATAAGGCCACAACAATATGTACTTATTCATCCTAGGTTGTTTTATACTTTAGTCAAACTATTTTAACTCATTAAATTACCATTCCTTATTTCAGTTTTTTTTTTTTTCACTTTCTCAGTTAGCACTGTGGCCTCAGAGCGAGGAGGTTTCCGGTTTGAGCCTCTCTGTGTGGAGTTTGCATGGTCTCCTTGTCCATGCATGGATTCTCGCCCAATGACAGCTGGGATCGGCTCCAGCTCCCCGCTACCACGAACGGGAAAAAGTGGTAAAAGATAATGGATGGAGTATCCACAGTTACAGTTTTACCCTTGTATCAAAAAATAACCCAAATAGATGGATAGAAAAGTTAGTCGGTCTAGAGTAGAACCCCATTCCTTATACATTGTCTCCATTGCATCACATAGTTTGAAAATAAAAGCAGTCCACACAACATTTTAGGAAAACACTGTATTTATATTTTAAAACAATACACAGACACCAAAATTCCATCACAAAGCATTCAACTTTCGTCTTCAGTTGACGTTATCTACTATAGAGCATTGATTCTCAAGTGACCAGAAGCAAAACAAAGAAAGTCACCATAAAAAAACGTCTGTAAATGTATGTTCTTACTCGTGTTAAAATAAGAAATGCAGGCAATCTCCATTGGCTGAGCAGAGTTTCTGCTGAGATATTTCTGAACTAGAATGATTAATAATGACACAAACATGCGTTGTAATGATGATCTTACACAGTCAACCTGACAACACACCTGAATATGTTCTGTAAATTACAGATTAAAGACATTTTTAGTGACAAAGGCCTCAAATGTTAAAGAAATACTACATAAAGTGAGTTGGACAATAAAAGCCTCAAAATTCAAATGTAAGTTCAAATGTAAAATTATCGTCCTTAGTATAGTCTAAGTGGGCACTGTGGGGGATCACTGCAGGTGTCTAATAAACTCAAAGATACCTGAAACCCACCTGCTATTAATCAAAATATTATGCTTTATAAAGCCGTTTGCCAAATCCTCAGTGATATGCCTTCAATCCACACATCACCACGACACCTGAACTGTAGCTGGACAAGATGGCACATGAATGCGCGTACAAGTGCAACACATGTCAACCGAAAAATAAGTTCAGGCCTTATTGAAGAAATAAAAGGAACAAGAAAATAGTCAGAGAGTAGTCCAAAATATCTCTTTCATAACTCAACGTTTAGTAACATATTCCATATTTCTCCAGATCATGTTATTGAGCAACTCTTTTAGTGTCATATCAGAGATTTGATCTTGTTAGTATATTTTTCTTGGTACTTATGTCCTTTGTGAACTTAAACTCCAGATTGTTAAACAGATTGGTATCTATGTTGCATAGGCTGGTGTTAAAACACCTGACAGCCAACGAGCAGTTTTTCTTTGGCAACAGAATGCATTGCAGTGTATGATTCGGTTCATATACATTTCTGTTTTTGAAAACCAAATTGAAACGGAGTTCGAGGAAAGTAAACAAACTGCTGTGTCGTTGTTACTATTTCATGAAGGAAACCTCATGAAACCTTACATGGAGATGCGTTCACTTGATCTGTGAGTTCCTGTAACAGATCAGTTATTTCATTCTCATGAGTTTCTTGCAGGGATTTTTTGTCCTCTTCAGTTTCTGACCTCTTCATTTCTTTTTTGTGTTGTTTCAGTAGTTTGTTGACTTTTTGCATACTTTCTTTTTTTCTGGTGACACATTTTACGACGCTGTAGAGTTCCTCTCGATGTTTTTTCTTTTGGTGTTCTTCGTTATAGTCAAAAAGTGCATGTAAGAGGTCATACTTCTCATCTCGTTCTTTGATCTGTTTCTGATGCTCCCGCTTCAGAGCTACACATTTCTGTTTGAAGTCATTGAACTCTTCAGCTTTCTTCCTGGCTTCCTCTTCATAGGTTTTCCTCAGACTCTTATATTCTTCCTCAAAGGCTTTTTTCTCTTTTTCCTTTTGTTGCTTTCCGATTCGGTCCTCTTCTTGTCTTTTCTTTTCATTCTCTTCTCTCTCCTTTTTGTATTCCTCTTGGAGCTTTTTTCGTTTGATTTCTTCCTCATGTCGTATCTGTTCATTTTCCTGAAATCGATCCTCCCACCAGTCTTTAAGTTTTTTCTCCCACTTATCTTTTTCTTTTTTCAGTTCTTCTCTAGCTTCCTCCAGCCTTCGGTCAATGGTGTCATCTGGCTCCGATTCTGACCGTTTCTTTTTCTCCAAATTGGCAAATTTCTGTTCCCAGTCCTGTCTTTGAATTTCTTCCTTTTGTTTTCTCATCATGTCTTCTTCTTCTCTTTTTTCTTGTTCTTTCTTTCTCACTTCTTTTTCTTTGTTGATGTTTTCCTCAAGTTGTTTTTCCTTGATCTTTCTCTGCTTTTCAGTTTCTGCTCTTTGTTCTTCCATTCTTCTTTTCATGGCTTTCATTTCATCTTCATATTTTCTTTTAAGTCCTTCCATCTCTCTCTTCATCTCTTCTTCCCTCTCTTTCAGGTTCCTCTCAGTTTCTTTCATTATAGCGGCTTCAGCTTCTATCAGCATCTCATTGGTGTAGCAGCTGCCTCCATTAGTTCTCACCATTTCTTCAATCTTGGTCATCAACTCACTGACTTGAGTTTTGTTTTTGTCATCATAGTTATCAAACACGTGGTATCTTCCTCCACAGTCAGCAATAAGTTTCTTAAAGGAATCATCACATCTCTTTTCAATGTATTCTTCAGTGGACATGTTAGCACGCTTTAATGAATCTCCTCCAGTTAGAAGAACGATGGTGAACTTGTCAGCATTCCTCCCAAAGCCTTTCTTGATGAGTTTTAATGTCTCCTTCTCCTCTGATGTAAATCTGCCGATATTTAACACCAACAGAAAGACATGTGGTCCTGGAGCCAGAAGACTGATGCATTTAATCATCTCTTCATAAACATCTTCATGGGACAAGCTATTGTCAAACAGACCAGGAGTGTCGACCACAGTGACTGGATGTCCATCCACCTCGCAGTGTTCTTTCTGACAATGCTTAGTGACAGACTTTTGGCCTGGTTCAGACTCAAATACGTCTCTTCCCAGAATGGTGTTTCCTGAAGAGCTCTTCCCACAGCCAGTCTTCCCTATCAGCACAATCCTGAGACCTTCTTGACTCAGCTTCTCATCACCACCTGGAAAATAAAAGGGTCTGGAGTTAATATGCTAACAAATTACACAGCATTAACCTAAGCATATTGTCAAAAATACAACAGTTTGTTCTTAACAAATCATTTGATTTGATAAAATTAGTTGATGTACTTAATTACAAGTAAAGCAACTCTTTCTTGTGCCTATGGCCAAATCCCAGCCACACTGACATTTAATACAACAGCACTCCCTCTCATGTGATATTGCTTATACAAGTAACTACTCACGTCTGGTTATCCTTGTTGTTTTCAGGTCCTTAAGCTCCGCCTGTAGTGTGCAGACCCTTTCCACTTGTGCATGTGCAAATGTTTCTGTTGTGTAGCTGAGTAGTTTGTTTTTAATCCCAGGTTTATGTTTCTCTAGATTGTCAAACAGCTCTTGAATCTGCTGCTGATCATGGATGTTGAGAACAAAACTTCTACATCTCTGAATGAGATCCTGGATGTCTTTGTTTTTCTGTACAAAGTTGACAACTGCTGAAGCTGATGGATCTGACTCGACAGTGAACAGAACCATGGTGAAGTCATTGACTGCATAGCTGAATGTGCTTAGGATGGTCTTAAACTCTTCCTTGTCTTCATCAGTGAGTGGACACACAGGTAAGACCAGGATGAAGGCATGGACACCCTCAGGATCACAGAGGGTGATGCATCTGAACGATTCCGCCATCACTTCTTCCAGAGGTTTTCCATACAAGGCAGGAAGCTCCACCAGGGAAACCCGACGTCCACACACCTCACCCTGATGTTTAACACACTCTGATGAGCTGGAGACTGATTGAAGATCTGTCTGACCTAAAATGGCCTCAGCTGCTGAAGTCTTCCTCTCTCCTCTACTTCCACACAGAACCAGGCTTAAAGCTGTTTTCATAAGACCAGACTTTGGGGCGACTGAATCCTCGATGACAGTGAGAAAGGTTCCTTTGTTTTCATGAACAGTTTTCTTAATCTTTTGCATTAATACATCACGGTTGTTGTCAGCCATACTGTAGTGTTGTTCTCCACAGTCTTTAATGAGACTTTTAAAAGAGACATCTGTTTTATCCTCCTTATGTGTGCTGATGACCACTGAGTGTTTGAAAGCATCTTGACCAAACAAACTCAGGATGAACTTCAGTGTTTTTCTTTTCTCTTCAGTGAAATCAGAAGGTTTCACTAACAGCAGCACAACATTTGGTCCAGGAGGACAGAGACTCACAGCCTTCTTCATCTCTTCTCTCAGCTTCTCCACAGAAACACTGAAAACTTCTGGAGTTTTCACAACTGTTAGAGACTTTCCTCTCCATTCTCCACTCTGCACCATTTGTTTGCCTGTAAAAGTATTTTTTAGGACACTTGAGCTGTGTTGTTCTTTTCCAGTGATAAAGTCTCCAAGTTTTGTTGTTTTGTCGTCCTTTATCCCCAGCAGCAGAATTCTGACTGTAATAGAAAAATAAAATGTAACATGTAGAGAGACATTAAGTCATGCCACATGGTTAAACTAAATCTTACATTCTGTTTTCTATATTTAGCTTTCAATGGTTTAATGAAAGGAAAACTCATAATCTTCATGTTGGCTTCTAACTAGCTTAATCAAGACAGTAACAGGAAAAAAAACTATGAACCATTAAATCAATATCTGTCTGTGTGTGTCTGTTCATACCTACATAATCATTATATATATTTATATTCCTCAACCTGTTTACAAACTGTTAAACCGTCACATTAAAACAGGAAGTATACAGTAATTTACATGTATGCTTCCTGATTTAATGTGTCCATAACTTTTACTTTATTACAGCGTAACTTTTGCTAAGCAGTTTACACATATACATAAAAATACACTTTATTACTGATTTAACTTCTGCACTTTACAGTGCTGGACCTTGCATATATAAACTTACAGTGATTTTCTGTAATTTTACATACATTTTAACCCCCCAGCCATGGCCACGCCCTTTAACAAAACTTAAGCTTTTAATACATTTTGTTCTCCAAGGTATCTACGGTACCAAGACCAAATTGGGTTGGATCGGATAAAGCCTTCAAGAGGACTGATTTTGAATATGCACCCTGAAACTCATTTGTTCCTGCTGCCATCACATTTTTAAACCACTAACTGTGTTGCCTCTGTTTCTTATCTATTATTTACTGTCCTTTCTATGTTGTTTGCTCATTTCGGGCTGTATGTATGTGTGTGTTTTACTGCTGACTGCAAAACAAATTGCCCTCTAGCAGGGATAATAAAGACAACCTTGAACCTTGAACCTTGTTCATGGCTTAAATAGGCATTATTTTAATTATACAACTCACTCTTTTGGTGAGTCTGGTGATGCTCCAGATTCCTTCCTGTTAAAAGGCAGTTTTTCCCTGCCACTGTAACTTTACTGTGCTCATGGTAGATTAATGTTGGGTCTTTGTAAATAATATAAAAGAGTACCGTCTAGATCTACTATCTACTATTTTTGTGTCTAAAGACAACATTTGTTATGAATTGGCACTATACAAATAAAGATTGATTGATTGTAAATCAGTACAAAATGGCTCACCACCTTTTGCATTATGGGCATGGGCCCAAGTTGTTTTTTAGTGCGGGAGCTGAACTTTGTACTGCTATCAGATAATATAGTCAAGTCTCTATTGGATTCCGGTTTCACATTTTTGGAAACAATATATTTTTAATAATAATTTAAAAAAGTGATTATAATTTCCCAAGTTTTCTCTAAAGGGAGATGAGTTTTGGGGGGATAAGGGTCAACCACAGTGGCGCCAATATGGTACTGGTCAGTAATAATAAAATGTGTCTATTTATGAAAGTTTACTTACTTTCCCCTGAGGGAGGGGGTGTCACCATCTTATCCTTGGTAAGAAGACCTGTTAAAAGATGACATCATTGACTATCAGCTTCATATTCTCATGAGATCAGTAATGATTTTGAGTTTAAACATTTTGATTAGAACAGATCTCTTACCATAAGACATAACAGAATTCATGAATCCGGGCCTTGTTTCCTTTTGTTGAATTCTTTGTATATCATCAGGGGCATCCATGAACACTTCACAGCTGACATGCTCTCCATTGTGTTCTTTCGCAATTTGACTGAAACGTGTCAACAGCTCTAGAAGTTCAAGGTTTGCCAGCTCCAAATATCTGTATCTACATTCTCTGATCATCTCTTTTAAGGGTTGATTTTGTAAATATATCTTAACACTACTTGAGCCCTGCTCTCTGGGTGTTGATATCAGTATCAGTGAATGATCAAATGACTGATCACTGAAGCGTTTAAGAACTCCACAGAATCTCTGTTTGTGTTCCTCAGTGAAGTCATCAGGCTGGAGAACCAACAGGAACACATGAGGTCCAGGATCAGAGAGTCTCACACAGTCTGTCAGATGTTCTGTCAGTTTGTCTTCAGAGATGGTGGCATGAAGCAGATCTGGAGTGTTGATAAGAACTATGTCTTTCTCCTTTATTTGTCTCCTGACTTGCTCACATTGGTCTGCTTCTTTTCCAGTGTTGAACACAGTCTCTCTCATTATGACGTTCCCCACTGAACTCCTCTCAGACCATGAGTTCCCCAGCAGAACAACCCTCAACTCAGACACTGTGAAAAGAAAAATTTAAACAGACTAACTGGCTATTTTTTTAAAATCCAGTTTTCTTTATTTATTTTGGGATTTGATTACCTACTGTTTTTACAGATGTGACCAAAACAGATATTCTTATACAAATGGATAGAAGTTTTACTCACTGTGAGGTGGCATCCATTCAATACTCCAACAGCGCCTCAGAGGATGCAGATCATCTATGATTGAAACAAGTACATTTTGTCATAGGTGTGCACAGTCTTTCATGACATTTTACACCTAAATAAAGTAGAAGTCTACGGAGCCTGGGAGGTGACATGAACTAACACATTTTATAAAGCGTGCAAGTTATAACTTTAATAGCGGTAATTAAACAAACTAACTGGTGACAGTGTGAGATAATATGATGTATGTGGTATAAAACTCTATATAAACCTTATAAACATATAAAAAAACGGAGACGGACCGGACACGCATCTGGTGGAAGTTGGCCGTGAGTCATCTCCACTGTCAGGACCGGACATGATGTAGGCCTAGTTTGTTGTAGAAACGCTTGGAGACAACGGTAGATGACTATCTTTATCATCCAAAACAGCGGTAATAAGATTTAAGATTTACTTTTATTGATCCCCACAAGGGGAAATTTCAGTTTTTACACTCTGTAGTTCATGCAACACACACACAGGCTGAAATATACACACACATGCACAAACAGGATCCTATGGACATGCACTAATGGAGAGATGTCAGAGTGACGGAGCTGCCCACAGCAGGCGCTCCTGAGCTGGTGGTGGGGAGGGGGTTTGGTGCCTTGCTCAAGGGCACCTCGGCAGTGCTCAGGAAGTGATCTGGCACCTCTCCAGCTACCAGACCAACTTCCATATTTAGTCCACAACGGGACTTGAACCGGCGACCCTCCGGTTCCCAACCCAAGTCCCTACAGACTGAGCGCTAAGCGTCTGCTAAGTGAATTGTAACATTGTGAATAAACCCACACAACTATCAAACATTCACATTCAGCTGGAAGTCCACAGCTAAAATGTCTTTCTATTTAAAGGTAAGTCTGTGTGTGTGTGCCTACATGTGTGTGTATTATTTATTGTTAGTCACTGCCTTTTTTTGCTTGATTTGTTTACCTCCGTGCTCTGAGCTTATGATGGTGAAATGTTCCTGTTTAATTATAATTCTTCATGTTCTGACAATAAAGAATAATTAAACCATAATTAACCATCTGGTTTCTTCATCTTTCACTCAGGAACAAAAATCAGCTTTTAAATGTATTATTATTTATATATCGACTGATATGAAATTTTTCATCTACCTGCCACCTTGGCCGGTGAGTCAAAAAGTTAATTTCGGACCCTGCCTGCACACCCTCTTGGTCCCCCCGTTCTGCCTCCTCCATGCTCCTCACCACACCTCCTTTCCGCCTATCATCAATGGGATCTCGAGCATTTAGCCGTACGGCCCCCCGTCTCTGGAACTCTCTCTCACAAACCATCCATGACATTAACTATCTCCCCACCTTCAGATCACAGCTCACAGCTGCTGTTTTTGTGTTTTTGTTTTTAAGTAGTTGATAGTGTTCGTGTTTTTTACTCTACTGCTGTGTCTGTAAGGTGACCTTGAGTGACATGAAAGGCACCCTTAAATAAAATGCAATATTATTATTATTATTATTATTATTATTATAGGTGAAAAAGTTTTGAACATGTTTTTAGATTTCTTTGTTTAAGGTCAAGATTTGGCCTGACGTGATAATCGCTTGTTTTTATTATTAAAGCTAAAAATGCCTCTCCTTTTTAAGGCAGAGCCTCTGTAGGGTGACAGTTGGCTTTAAAAAGAAGTGGAGACGAGAAGTGGGAGGATTTTATACTTTTACAGGGTTTGTCCTGGCTCAGTATTACCTTATTTGACAGAAATCTGTGCATTTCCTGTTATTTCTGACCATTTTATAAATAATATTATCATTATGCTTAAGTTACTGAAACCCCAATTCAATCTGGTAAAGAATTTTTTTTAATTGCAACAATGAAACATGGGAGGAGAGGGATTTTGAGGGAGAGGGGTGTAATGAGATTGGGAGAGGCGAGGTCACATCCTGCCAAAAGTACATTTATTTGAATTACTAAGGTATTATGTCAAATAATCACAGATTTAAGTCACAGATAATTTGGATCATTTGATCAGATCAGGAAATTGAGAAATAATAAAAATATATTTGCTGGCTCTAACGCAGCGCTGGTTGACAGTCTGTGTGGAGAAGTTCACAGACTACAGCTGGCTGACGTTACAGTCGTTAAGATATTGATTGTTGATAAAAGCAGACACGTTGGAATTGAACAGAGAAAAGTTGAACGTGCGTTCCCGACTCGGTCCATACGGATAGCGGATCAACCGGGTTCCGTTTCACTACAAGTCAACAGGTGTGTGCGGTGGTTGGTGTTCCGGTGTGTGTGTGCGCGTTTGCAGCCATGTATGTTGGTGTGTCTCGTCTCGGCGTGCCCCCCGATGACCCGTCTGCAGACAGCAGAGGAGCAGGGACAAGTAGCCGCAGCTATACGTCATACGCGGTTTAGTATAGTTTTAACATGACTGTTGGGATAAATATTTACCGCCATGAAGAGCATTGCTCTTTGAAATTAACTCCAAACGGAAAATCAACCCGAATTTAGCGCTTGTGGGTGTCAGCGGAGCGGACGGAACCAATCAAAAGAAACGAACAGTCAATCAGCTGGCTATCCAGCGCGAGCCACATGCGTAAACGGATGAGAGGGGAGATGACTGCTAGAAGTCAGAGACGTCGTATTTAAGTTTATGTTCTGCTTGTTCAACAGTCGTTTGATGTATTGATACTTTTAACATTCAGGGAGGATTTGATTTGCAATTTTCATCGTCTTTTTTTTCTTTTGGCGCTCTGGATTTTCCTTTGGCGCTGGGTAAAACCTCTTTGGGGGGCGCCAAAGAATTGTTTATGCAGGAAAAACCCTGTTTTATGCTTCTTACCCAAAATAACTTTGTATCAGTTTTTGTTTGTGTGTTTTCCCTCTTTAATAATTCACTTTGAGAACACACAGAGATGAGTTTGAACACATACTGGAGTTCATGTATTTTGAACACAGTTAGGTGGTCCAACGGCACAAGGTAAGAAAATAGCCCAATAACAGAAATAGAGCAAAATATTGAATGATGGAGGATTAAAAATATCAAATTAAAATGCACAAGGTAAGCTAAAACTATGATGACAAATAAAAGTTCAACTTTATTCAGAGATTTCAGACAATAGTGCCGTACAGTCTGAGAGTGAAATGATCACTTTATGAAGGAGTGCAGGAAAACTTCCTGTTGTGAAATATGTCAACAGAATGAAACATGAAAAATAGGCCTATTATATATATTAGGATGTCAAACCATCGTGAAGAGAGTTACTTAAGAGAAAGAGAAACTTACAAATACTAACTATGTCTGCCTTACATATATGCAAACATTGCTTTCATTATTTATTGACATTAATCTCTTTTAGTTTTGGAATGCAGGTAGACATAGAAACTTATTTTGTCCTAAAATATGAAAGAAGGCTAATTGCACTTATATGCTGCACTGTGATATTTTAAGAGGGAATTTTGAATGTGATATGTTTTTCTGAGAAGAAAGCCTTTACTACAGACTCAATCACCATTATATTTCTCTGCATTTAATTCACTATAGGGCTGCACGATATATTGTTACAGCATCGTCATCGCAATGTGAAGAAAAAAATACATATCCATCTGGAGCCGAAAAATATATTTGAGCCTTTCAATTAAGTTTATGTAGCCTGTCTAAGCCCAGTCACATTACTATTATATCTAAATGAGCATACATTTATATATTTTACCACATTACATGCAACACCTCGCATAGTTAGAGCACCTTGCTCTGTCATCTAACCTGCTCAGGGTCGGGCAGAGCGAGAGGGAGCGGTGATGTGAGCGGAGAGGAGCAGGGACTTTGACAATCTGACAGTTTGATAACTATGTGCTAACGCAAGGGGAGAGTGGTTGGCCAAACAGCAGTTGATTTTGGTTTCATGCTGATGCTCAAGGACGACATCTACTGGATCAAAAAAGGTGCACATTCATCCTTTATAAAGTTAAGGACATACACCAGACCCCTCTGTGTTTAGAATGATATATTGTATGTAGTGATGCATAAAATATATCTGCTCAAGAAAATAAGAAGTGTTAAGGCTGTTACTATTTCTTAAATCCAAGACTCACTGACCTGCTTAAATGTCTCAATATCTCTTTTGGAGTCTTTAAACATGTAGACAGAGGATAAAACAGAGTCTGACTGGACTCACCTGCTGCTGCAGTCGCCATGATGTCATCAGAGACTAATTCCAATGGAAAGAACAGCTCTGTTTGAGAACCTAGAGAAAGGATTTAAAATATTTAAAAGGGTAACATGTACAGTAGCACATTACTCATTAGTAAAGAAATCAATGAGTGCAGACATCATTCATAGCAATTCCTGTAATATCACTGAATTCATATACTTGTAAAGTAGTTTAGCTCAAGTGATTAGGAAGGTGGTAGGAAGGCATTTCAGCAGACTTCATTTAAGTTAATAAAAACAAAAGTTCAAAGGAAAAAAGGTAAATTACCTCAAAACTAAATCAAACTAAGGCATAGGGCTGGACGATATGGACCAAAACTCATATCTTGATATTGTTTAGCTGAATGGCGATACTCGATATATATCAATATGTATTTTATTAACAATGAAAACACATGGAAAATAAACTATCTGTTTGTGAATTTAAAAATTAATATTATAAAATAAAAATGTTCCTTAAATACAATAAAAGAGAGAGAGAGGAGGAGCAGGGTTAAGAGAGACAGACAGTCAGTCATCATGGATGAGAAAAAGGTGACATAACTCAAGATAAACACTACAGTCGATTTGCCCCAATGATGTCAGTGATAACATCATCAATCTCATAAATACCCAGGAAGTGCTGAACCAGCCCCTTTAGCTGCAGGACCACATGGGGAACTGAACAAAAGAATAAATAAAGGTAAGTATCCGATAAAGAGAACAATCAATTATGTGCAAATCCTGAAACTAAATAAAAATTCCTGAAACTAAATAAAAATTGACTGAACTAAATCAAAGCTGTGTGTTTGCTTTTACTTACTTTGTACTTTGGTATGAACTGTAACATAATGCTTACACAAACAAACCCAGGACAGTAAGTGCTGCAATGTTACACAAGCAAAGGTCAATTATTGCAAAATGAACAACTTTAAAGAATTATGTGATTTGATATGAATGAAGATTTGAGTGACAAGTGGGAAAAAGTGAAGAGTCTCACAGCTCTGCTTAGTTCTCGCTTAGTTCTGGGCATGAATTACATTAAGCTTATAGAAATAGCTGAATATTCACGCTGATTGTTATGAAGATTGCATATCCTTTCATGCATTTCTACTTGTTCTTTTATATTACTCTTATATGCCTTAGTCTATCTGTCGCGCCTACTGTGCATTGCTGTTGGCCAGTCAGCTGTCCCTTAGTTCTGTAAAAGATTCAAGTTATTTAGCTCTCCATCGTTTGGACAGTTAGAACATGTCTGTGTTCATAGAGTTTGTAGGTTTTCTTTTCATTTCATATAGGAGTGGACATTTGAAATGAAAGCTTATACTCATTAGCCAGGATAGTTCCGATTGTATGAGCAAATGCAAAGTACAGCGAATGATTACAGGCGAGAAGCAACAACTGTATGTAATGTGTGGCAATGGTGTACTGATATAAAATGTTAATTTCTCAGGTATTCAGAGGGACTAGTAAAGAGGCGCTCCTCAAGTGTACCTTTAATAAACATTAGCATGCAGGTGTGACTGTAACTTCAATAGTGCTGCCCAGTATCTATTCATCTTCTGTATTTATGTTCATATAAATACATGAAGGAAGTTATTTTTATGAGAACTGATATTTACAGTATTTTTTGCCATCGCTATGTTAGGTCAGTAAAGAATACAGTGTCTCATGTTCATATCAGTTATGTTGGTTATCTCTGTACATTGGAGTAAGGTTGCAGTGTTGTGTTTAATAACTCGCATATAATGGATTTTTCATTATGTCCTTTATTTTTATGGTTACGGAAAACCACACACAAATATTTTCCTGTCTGAATAATAAATGCAGCACAGAGTGTGAATCTGAAGATTAATCCATCTCAGGTGTATTTTTACTCAGAATTGACAATAAAATGTATACAATCATTAAGACATTATCTGATAACATTTAAACTATACAGGTAACATCAGGCTACTTGTTCATTTTTGAGTATCTAGTTTTCTGGTAACTCACCCGATGAATTCTTGCTGTGACACAAAAACAATTTAAAGTGAAACGAGAGTGGAGTTGAGGGTGGAACATGAGCTCGTGATTATTTGTATAATGTAAGTGGTTAAAAATGTGTCAGTCAGAGTAACTGAACTGGGACTCTGTTCTTATTGGCTGTGTCAGTTATGTCGACTACCGATTGGCTATGGAAAACAAGTCCCACCTTCCTGGTAACTGGTTTTATTAAAGTGCAAGATCTGAGCACTTTATCTTAGTCTAACACACTGATGAACTGAATCTGTTTGTGAGGGGGAAACAAGATCAACTCTTCAGTTCAGTTCAGGTCCCTTAACTTGAAGAAAAGTACAACGCTTATGGGATCTTATATAGTGGCTGAAAGCACACGTATAACTCCAGCAAGACATTTAGTTATAGTGATAACTCTGGACACCATGGGCCACCATTTATGCCACATGGGAAGAATTCACATCACAGAGACTAAATATCTTCATCCACAGCCATGAAGTTACAAAGACTCAGAAGAGAAATCATAAACATTTATAGTCAATACATTAAGACATTACAAAGGGTGTCATTGCCCAAAGAGACCACACGAGGGTGTCAGCGCTCATCTTTGTCAAGTACTGATTTGTTTGTTGTCTCTGACATACTCCATCTGTTGTTTGTTTGTAAATGTATACATGGTCTGGGTGGACTCTGGAACCGAATTGCCCTCAGGGATAAATAAAGTTTCTAAGTCTAAGACCTTTTGGCTGTAGTTCAATCCAATACTTTCTGACATCAACATTTCAATTCTATCCGAAAATAATCTGAAGTCATTAGATTGAAGATAGGTTTGTCACATTCAAAGTCTTTATCCATCACTGTGTTGTGTGAGTGAACAGAATGCTGTTCGACTAGTTTAGGTCAGATGCTTTGAACTGGATAACACCCCACAAGAGGAACACGAATTGCCCTCAGGGATAAATAAAGTTTCTAAGTCTAAGACCTTTTGGCTGTAGTTCAATCCAATACTTTCTGACATCAACATTTCAATTCTATCCGAAAATAATCTGAAGTCATTAGATTGAAGATAGGTTTGTCACATTCAAAGTCTTTATCCATCACTGTGTTGTGTGAGTGAACAGCATGCTGTTCGACTAGTTTAGGTCAGATGCTTTGAACTGGATAACACCCACAAGAGGAACTAATTACATTCTCATCACTGACAGAAACTATCACCTTGCTTAGTTGTTTAATCAGTCCTACTGATCATAAGTTAACCTTTTTTATTTGTTGGTAAATCCTTAGGCTAAGTTTAAATCTGACTGATAGGTCATCACTCAAGAGGAATAAAAACCATATCAATGGGCTGAACACATGGGGTGCAGGTTACTTCAAGAGGAATAAAAACCATATCAATGGCTGAACACATGGGTGCAGGTTACTTCAGAAAAGTATTCATGGATCACCGTTTTTAGATCAGTTTACTGTGATAGGATCTTAACAGCAGACTTACAGGAGGACGTTTTGTGATTTCAGTTAATGTTGACCTAAAAGGCCAACTATCTGAATTTTTTATTAGAGTTCGGTCATTAGAGTAGGTTTCAGTTGATGAGATTTGACAATAAATTAATGTAATCTTAGTAATATGTTATCTGATAACCTTTAAACTATACAGCTATTCCATTATTACTTGTTCATACTTGTTTATCTAGTTTTCATCAAGTTCATTCACCCAATTAATTTCTTGCTGCGACACGAAAAGAATTCAAAGCGAAACGAGAGTGGAGTTGGGGTCGGGTGGAACATGAGCTCCGTGATTATATGTTTATTTTATTGGTTAAAAATCTGTAAGTCAGAGTAATTAAACTCGGACTCTGTTCCTATTGGCTGTGTCAGCTAATGGCAACTACCAATTGGCTATGGAAAACAAGTCCCTCCCCTTCTTGGTAGCAGCCAACAGGAAGGAGGCACTTTTAGAGCAGAGGACTGTTGCTGTTGTTAGGAAGAAGTTCACAAAATGTTTAACTTGTTGATATAAAATGTTGTAATCCGGACATGTAAATGATACTTTTTAAACTACTGGTTAAAGTGTTAGTTTAGGTCAGATGCTTTTAACTTGATAACACCCCACAAGAGGAAACAAATTACATTTTCAGCACTGACAGAAACTATCTCACTTCATTTTTGATAACCTTTACAGCATAAATAATTACTGAAACCCTAACAGGGCGCCTCGTTTCAGACCTGATCACACACAATACTCTACATTATTCACATGTTTGTCAAATCACCATGTCGCAAAAAGAGCTGGAGAAAATCATCCACGCTTTTATTTCCTCCAGCCTTGAAGACTGTAATTCATTATACACCTAACTCAGTAAAAAAATAAATCAAACACATTCAAACAATCCAAAACGCAGCAGCCCGGCTTTTAACAAGAAAAAACAAATGTGCTCATATCACTCCAATCTTAACATCCCTTCACTGATTTTAAGATTATTTTAATTACTTTCAAACCACAACATGGGCTGGCTCCTACATATATTTTAGAGCGTTTAACCCCTTATGAACCAGGACGCAGTCTGAGATCCTCTGGCAGTTCTCCACTGGCTGTTCCAGGGTCCAGGCTGAAAACTAAAGCGGACATGGCTTTTGCTGTCACAGCCCCCCAGACAGTGGAACAGCCTGCCAGAGATCAGACTTGCAGAGTCTGTCCCTCGTTTTACTTCTGTACTTCAGACATTCTTTTTCATTTTAATATTTTATTCTATCAGTATGCTTTTATTGTCTGTTTGTTTTACTGCCTGTTTGCCTTTATATTTTGGAACATCATGCTGTTTAATGTCATCTCTGTCAACAGTACAAGCGATCTAACATTGCTTTTATGATTTGATAATATTTCTATATCTAGTTTGGTCGAGTTTACTCACCTGGTGAATTTCTTGATGTGAAAAAATCAGCAGTAAAAGTTCAAGTGAAGCAGCCACGGCACATCTGACTAAAACATAGTTTAATAAAGATTAACATGTTACAGCGTGTTTGTCGAGTTCAAGGACAACCTGGATTTGCCTGAGGCTTTTTCTCACAATGAGTAATAACAGGTTGTATCAAATGTTAGCACTTCCTCATATTTTAATCACAGGTAAACCACCTTTGTTTGTGAGGGATCAAGAGAATCAAGATGAACTCTCCAGTTCCCCTGCTGGCGGAAAAGTATAGTTCTCTAAACACGGGACTACAAGGAGGTTGGTTGGAATCATTAAAAGAAAGTTATTTTGAATGATAAATATTCATCTCCAAATATGTTTTTCATTTCAGTGATAGCTGAGGAAACACTGAAAACAGTCACTATGTATAATATTTTGAAGTAACTCATTAAAACACTTGTTTGGTTATTAATAAAAGCCTTTTGGTAATTTATTGGAACTTATAGAATTTGTAAATTATTAACCTTTATCTTTCTAAAAAAATATAATAAATCAAGTAAGTATGATGAATGATTTTAAATAACAGAGCAGTAAACAACAGGTCTCACTAGAAAAAGGATGAGGTTTAAAACATAGAGATTGGATGGAAACTGGGAGCATCTGGTGGAGAGATCAAGAACAGCAAGCAACCTTTAGAAGTGTAAATGTGACTGGTGAATAAAGTCAGAGATACTGACTGTGACAGAGGCAAACAAGGGAACTATCTACAAGTGCTACCCTGAAGATTTACTCTTTTTGTGATATTTAAGAGGTCTGTTTTGAGTTGTCATACTGTATACTTGTACTGTATATTGCAGATATATAACGTACAGAGGTCAATGGGCACTTTGTAGGAAACCATAAAAAAATATCCTGTAGTTGTTGCTCTAAACTAAGAGACTTTTTGGTGAACATTGAGTAACAAGGTGCAAATGAAGCTATGGATATAATAAATCAAAAGTGTATCTTAAAAACACAATTTTAACTGTTAAATAGAAAATAATAAATGACTTAAATAATTGCAGGAAAGTAAAGAATTGTTTAACCCATTAGAGACGCTCATTTTAAATGTCCAAATAAGTGATGTTTTGATTTGGTTAACTTCTGAAGGGTTGTCTTTTTTAATGCATGACTGTTAGTACAGTAGGAGTGGGTGTTACGATGCACTGTAACTGCATTGTGTGAGAGATGACAATAGACTTACCTGACAGTCTACCTAAGTAGGAGAAGAAAAACATGGATGTACTTACCCATTAGTAGCCCAGAGTCTAACCCTGTAAGAGAACCAGAGATGGTCTTCAAATCTTGGGCATGCCAGGTCTCAAACATACAAACATCAAATCTCCCTCTTACTTACAAGATATTAAAGATACAAAAAAATCTGGTCTTTCAAGGTGACACAAAAATACATATATCAAACAAAGCATTGATATTATCTACAGACTCAATATGTCAGCTATCATTCAGCTTGTTAAGCAAAGTGCAATATAAAACCAATGTATTATTATTATTATTATTATTATTATTATTATTATTATTATTACAGCTTACCGTACTCTGATATATAATGCTTTTAGCACCAAATGATAAAAAAGGACACACAAAAGATCATTGTTAGACATTAAACTAGTTTTATTAAATTCCTGATATATCACTAAAGTCTTTGTTATCAGATAAGGTTTAGTAGAGAATACATTTGCCTAGCTTCTCTAGTCCTGAAGGTTAAACTGAAGTTCCTAACGGATAAAAAAAGTTATATGAGGTTGAAGATATAAAACCACAACAAGATAAAAAGAGAGCTTTTATACCAACCACCAGGAAAGTAGTACTAAATAAATTAATAAATAAAACAACTTACCAAACAGCACACACGTTTTCATCTTTCTTCCTTGGCCGTCTCTTTCTGCAAAAGTTATTCCTCCATGTAGTCTGGTTCATAAAGGTTTCCTTTAGTCTCCAACGTTATCGACACTTTGATGATCCTTCATGATTTGAGTTTCCTTCATTAATTGTCTTTTCTTAAAGCTGCCTAAGATGTCAGGTCGTTTACCTTAAA